TTTCTTTAAATTCCTCTGTGTCTGCCAATTCCTTTCTATATAATGACTCAGTATATTCCTTCCATCTTCTTTTAATACTTCCTGGATCATTTACTATTCTGCCCAAAGCATCCTTGATTACAGCAGCATAGGTCGTCTTGTATTATGATGAACTGCATATCTTTCTCTCTTTCCTAGTCTACTATCTGTTTTGTGGTGGGCATGTAGTATATTCTAAATATCTCAAAATTCTCAAAGCAACTCTGGGAGGTTAGTCATCCTGCCCTTTTTAATACATGATGGAAACTGAGTTTCAGAGGACTTAACTTTCAAATTACTTCAAATTAATAACAAACTGAATATGGAAAAGTCAAGACTAAAATCCATATCTTGTTGACTTTCAATCCTGTATTTTTGACTGTTATACAGGATAGCCTTAAAAAATAATAATCCTCTGTGTGTGTATAAGCAGTAGTGTGATAGGAATCTTCTGAAAAATAAGTCATATTTCATAAATTCTTAATGATAATTTTCTTCTTATGTACTGATTTTAGTGTGTGTACTTCCAGAGTGAGTGCAAGTAATAGAATAGATCAAAAGGGTAGGGAGGGGAAAGACAGGCCTGCAGTGTGTTTAGGAGCAGTTTCTTTCACTGTCTAGGAATTGAGCCTTCAAAACATTCTGCTAAATTTTAATTCTCAGTTAAGTAGAGGATGATTGCAAAGTCTGAAATTAGTTTGTAGAGTTTTAGCAACCAGAGCAGTGTTAACACAAGTGTTGGGTGATAGAACTCCAGCCCAGCAAAAATGCTTCTCAAAACAACCTTGGAACTCCTGATGAAAATTTACTTCCCCTTTCAGAAATGAGCTTTGGCTATGAAGCCTTCTCTCCCAATTTACCTGTTGCCTGTCTTTTCACACGTATACCAGATATGGTTTTTGGTGTGAAGTGGATTCTGACTGATTTGGTTAAGATCTTTGAGAGTGCAGACTGGTTTTTATTAAATTCTTTCTGACACAGCAAATAGGAACAATAGATTTTATTAAACATTTAGTAGGTGTGTGAAATGAATAAGTGAAAGAAGATGTGGGCTAGAGTTCTTGCTTGGAGCAGGACTCCTCTCAGCTTATTTTCCTGGCCCAGAGCAACCTGTGCTAGGCTGTGACTTTGTTTAAGGACCAAATGGGAAGAAAGGCCAGCTTAGAGTAAGGTTTTTGGACTGAGTGACTGGTTCCTGTCTTTATCCTGTCCGTGATGGGCCGCCCGTCCATGTGGGAGTGGAAGAGCTCTCCCTTCTCTCTCTGAAACTTGGCCTTTGGGGATCTTTCTGAAGGGATCTCCCTCCACATACCACCAAAGGCCTGAGTCAAGGCTAAGAGCCCAGAGGGGAGCCATAGCTGGGCTCAATAAGATTACAATTTTCTCTAGCTCTCATTACAAGCAGCTTATCTGAAGTTCACTGTTGTGGCTCTTCACAAACTCAGAGAAAGAACAAGGAAAATCTCATCTTTTCTTGTGTACTTTTCAGAGGGTCGATGAGTGGATGGCGAAGGAAGGCCTCTTAGATCCAAACGTCAAGTCAATTTTTGTCACCTGTGGAGACTGGGACTTAAAAGTCATGTGAGTATGAGAAGGACTTGCAAATTTTCAGAGCCCTCAGGAGCTGAGTCAGGGATTCCCTGCATATGTGGGGCTGTCAAAATTAGAAGAGGAATGGAAACCCTGCTGGTGAATGGGGGATAGGTAGGTCAAGGCACTACCAGGCCTGCTACTGTAAGGATAGCTCTCCCAATACTGGGCTACGTGTTATTGCCCTAGAAGGAAGATCTTTGCAGGGTTGTTGTTGGAGCTTTTTGTTGCTTTTAAAAAGCAAACACTGTGTACGTTGTACTGCCTCTATATAAGCACTATTTAATTGTTTTTTAAATAGCTTATTTAACAATCATGTGAAGCACTGTAGGATACCTATTTCATAGATGAGGCAGTTATAGTACAGAGAGAGAGTAATTTGCACAAGGACATATAAATGGCAGCGCCAGGGTTCATACTCAAGCAGCCTGGCTCCAGAGTCCTTTCTGTGCTACCCTCCTATCTGGGTAAGGCCCTGGTGATCCAACTCAGAGCCCAGTATAGAATGAGAGGGCTGCTGCTAGAAAGCTTCCCAAGTCTGAAGCATCTTCTCTTTCCTCCTTTATCCTCCTTGCTTTCCCCTCCTTTTTCTCCTGATCATGTTACAGAAAACAGAATTGGTTCCTTTGCTAGGCTGACTCTTCTGCATCCTGTCTGTCCTCATGGATGCCTGGTTTCTCACAGCCCCTGGGAATTAAAAGGGGGTAGAGGTGGTGGGGCACTATTTGCTGAGGATTGATAGAATTGATACTTCTATGTTCTTTGTGCCTGAAGACAGCAGTGTACACTCTCTGTGTGTATGTGCGCATGCATGCACACATTTGAGTATAGGGTAAGGCTCTATAGGGTGTGTTGTTAATCTGAGCTGGGGAGTAGTGACTGTGGAGTGACATTTCTTACCAGATCAGGATGTATAGTCTGACAGTACAGTTTTATGTCTTTGAGCGCTGGGGCTTTGAGATACAATTATGTACCTAGTATGAATGTCAGGTCTGTTACTGAACACCAACTCTTGGTAAACCCAGAGGAGGAGCAGACCCCACTTCACATAAACACATATCCATATGTCCCTTTTCCCACACTCCTCAGATTGTGTACACACTCCTCAGATTGTGTACACACACAGATTGCATACCACTAGGGATGTACACATAGGTCCAGAATATCTCTGTACTCCCAGATGACACTCATTTATCAGATAAATTATACAGGCTGGGTCTAGAAGCAAATATGAATCAGTGTTGGGCTTCACGTAAAGGTGATGAGGTGAAAGGCTGTGGTTCTTGTTTGTGGTTTGGAAAGCTTTGAGCACTTCCTACATCAGGGAACAGACTTGTGTGAACCCGTACAAGAAGAGCTCTTCAGGTGGGATTCAGGCTGCGTGCCCAGAGTTCTGGGGCTTCCATGGCCCAGGAAGAAGGCTCCTTGGCCCAATCCAGCTATCCTTTTCCTCACGAATAGCTCTTGCCATTCCATTGGTTTCTTTCTTCATCATGTACATTTCCCAAACATCTGTCGTTTAAAATGTTCGCCTCTAACTCTCCAACTATAAGTAGTGTGTGTCTCTGTGTATTTATGAAAACTTACCTGCATGTGAGGTTAGGGATTATCTGGTCTGATTCCTAGACTTGGACTTCTCCTCATGACATGGAGAGGACATTTCAAGGGAGTTTTCTTATTTGGGTCTGACCTATAGCACCAGTAGGGCCCTTGGTATGCTGGGCCTTGAATGGCTATTGATGGGTAGCTTAGAGGCCACTTTGCATCTTCAGAGAAATAATGCAGTTAATCAAGAAGAGGAAATGGCTTGGGAATCCAAGCATATCAGAAAAGAAACCAAAGTTAGATGAGTGCATACCTGTTCTCAGTTCTCCAAACTACCTTCTCTAGTAAGAGGTCGTATTTCCCTTTTATAGATGAAGGTGGGGAAAAGCCAAAACAGCTAATAAACCCTGAGACTCAAAAAGGTATAGACATGTAATTTGACAGAATTACATTTTAAGACCTTATAGGTTTTGGGAGACATGGGTAGAAGCAGCAGTGACTAACTTTGGTGGCTGGCTTAGGAGCCAGAGAAGCTCTGGAAAATGGAGTGCAGGAAGGAAACAGATGTCAGGTGGCAGGGAGAGGGTGGGGAGAAGAGCTCTGTGGCTGCTCATCAGAAGCCAGACTTGGTGTAACTGCTGGGAAGGCTCTTAATTAAATGTGTAACAAAATAAAAACAGCAGAGAGGAAACCTAAGTAGTGCTGCGTGACAGTGCACAGCTTATCCACGTTCCTGGAACTTCTCGTCAGAGGCTCATCAGATGCCTCTCGTCAGAGCCATCAACTTTTTTTATGTGCCTGCTAAAGTCTGCTGATTAGCCTGACAAGGGTAGTGTTAAATTGACACCCACAACTTGTTAGTATGTGGTTTGCTTTTTATTTTGACATCCATTTTCAGATTTAACCAAGTCTAAGGAATTCAGCAAATATTTTCATCTCACAGCATAGTTTCCTGGAGCTGGGACTCCTCATTGCTCTTCTCCTCCTCTTTCACTTCTCACTGTTTCCTCTCTCCCTTCCCCCACCCTTTCAGCTTCACATCACTTTTCATTGGAAAGGGCCTGATTAGTCAGGCACTGCGAAATGGGAACTGAAGTGGCAGCAGAAATCCCACTGGAGAAAAGAAGTCTGCTCTCATCCTGACAAAATCATTTTGTGTTCATCTTTTGTTAAAGCTGGATGAGTTGATACTCCAGGTTTGCATTGGCTTTAATGCCATAGTTGCAGAACTTGCTGAGGTGGGTTTTAATTTAGTGTGCATGAGTTTAATTTTTTTTCTAAACTTGTTCACGAAACAACCCTTGTTAAAGGGTTAGCCCCTGGTCAGCTTGCCTTTCATACCTTGTCTCCCTTCCCTTTATTTCCTTACAGGATTTAGTGTTGATTCACCAGTTTTCCCTGTTCTGTGTTGTCCAGGGGTCTGGTGGTGTTATAGCCTGTAGTGAGCTGTGCAGCTTCTCCAAAGGTGGCATGTCTCCAACAGTTTGAATCCACCAATAAATAGCTCCTTGGGAGATAGATGGGCAGTCTTTTCCTGTTGCGATTTACAGCCTTAAACCCGCTGGAGGGTCATTGTAAGTTGGACTGACTATGGCTGAGAGTGTTTTGAGTTTCTGCTGTCCGTGAAGGGAGTTTCTCTGTAAAGGGGTTCTATCTTTGACATTGTGGAAGAGCAAGATTGGTGCAGAGTGTGGGAGTGACTCCTGCAGACATCATCTTTAAGGATCTTGGCGTTTAGCCTGTAGCTTAAAGAGCAGGTTCATCAGCAGCATAGCACAGTAGCTGAGAAGCAAGGCCAGAAGATTTTCTTCTATGATTTGGGTCTGAGATCAGGAAGAGGGAAAGATGGGAGAGAAAGAGCTGGGAAGAAGGTGCATTTGGCCTATCATGCAGTCTAATAGAAGCCCTTTCGGAGAGGGTTGGGATTATCAGACACTGTACCCTGGAGGAGGAGGGTCCAGGGACTTGCTCACAATCTGTTAAGAGGACACTTAACGTCAGTCTCAGCCTCAGCCTCAGCTTCAGCTTTCAAATGAAAAGTTTTCTCTCTCTGGAGGTTGAGTGTGTAAACATTGGCCTGACTGACGTTTGGCTTTGTTATCCTGCCTGTCATGTGGGCTGCATACCCTACAAACTACATATATCCTCCTGCTGGTGTGGTATAGATATAGATAGACCTAAAGCATTGCAAGTTTAGAAAATTTGGAGATTGAAACATATTTACTCTGTAAACTTTTGTTAAAATCACAATAAAAGTTAAAAAAATGCCTTTTTATTTTTTAAAAAAATATTTACTCAGATTGCACTACTCACTGTGTTTGGGAAGATGCACTCCTTGGGGACTACTGAGGCATCATCAGGGTCTAGACTGCCAAAGAGCTGAGGTTGCTGTTTCCTGGAGTAAAGTACCACAGGGACAGATAGACCGGCATCCTCGGGAGAGCTCTGTGCAGTCTTGACTGTCTTTCCTATACCAGCCTGAGTGTGAAAGCAAAGAGAACTATACTGCTAATTCAGAAAGGTTCTGGATTTTCTCTCTGTCATCGTCATTGTGTTTATGGGATCTGAGGAAAATGACCCACAGACCTTAGCAATGGATGATAAGCGTGATCCTGGAAGCAATGTAAAGGGCCTACCCTGAGAAATTTGTGCCTCTAGGACTGAGGACTGGGACTTCTCTGGAGAAGTTTATCTCGAAGTTAGAATGAGCATTTATTAAGCACAATGAGCAGTCTTCTCCTGTGTGAGCTACAGCCTCTGAAAACCCGCTGATTCTGACTCAGCCGCACGAGATAGTGCTTTTACTGTATACTAGGAGCTGTGCTGTTCTCTTTGCACATGTTGTTGTTGTTGTTAAGTGCCATCGAGTTGCAGGCGATTCATAGCGATCCTGTGAAGGAGAGTCCTCGACGCTTGGATGCCTTTCATCCTCTCTCCAGGTTCATAGGGTTTCCAGAGGCAAGCTATTATGGAAGTGGATGCCACTCCTCCTTCTAATCTTTGCATATACCTTATTTAAGTCTCACCATTGTCATGAAGGGAGCTCTGGTGGCATAGTCGTGAGGAGTTGTGCTGCTCACCTAAAGGTGACATCTCTCTGGTGGTTTGAATCCACCAGCAGCTCTGCTGAAGAAAGATGAACAGTCTCCTATATGATTGACAGCTTCCAAAACCCCGCTGACCAGTTAGCTATGAGTCAGTGCTGAGAGCAGTGAATGACTACGTGACAGTCATTTGAAATAAGACTTTTTTTAAAACATAAAATTTTATTTTAATTATGGTTTTAATGAATGTTTATAGAGAAGTTAGATTTTCATTCATTCATTGTTTTACTTTTTACTCCCTCCCTTCTGCTTCCCCCAGTTCACTTTTTTAATATTCATTCATTGCATTCCCAGTCTTCTTTGCAATGAAATAAGAGCTTTATATAATTTTTTTTTCTTTTC